GATGCATACACAGAAGAGGGCACCAGACCTCATTACAGATGGGTTTGAGCCACCAAGTGGTTGCTGGGAATTGAACTCAGAACCTTTGGAAGAGCAGGCAATGCTCTTAACCTCTAAGCCATCTCTCCAGCCCCTAGACAACCAATTATTATTGTGCATTTCATGAAAAAAAAAAAAAAAACCTCTCTTCCAGTTTTCCTCAGTTGCCTAGTTTTGTGTAGGGTTGAGGCCTTGTGGGATTTTCCCTGTCTAGTTTGGTTTGTCCCTTGGTTTTGTCCTTGTTCAGTTCACATTTGGGTAGCCATGTTGGTGAGACTGTGAATGTAGATTCTGACATTACTTGGAACCACAATCTCACAGCAAAGTCCCTGATCCTCTGGATCTTACGCTTCCTCCACCCTCTTCCACAATGTCCCCTCAACCTTAGGTGTAGGAATGTTTTGTAGATCTAACCATTGGGACTGGGCCCCACAAATCTGCATGTTTGGTTATGGTTTTCTATAATGGTCTGTTGTAGATAAATTCCCTTGATGAGGGGTAAAAACTACACTTATCTGTGGGTATAAGGACAGATGTTTATAGATTTTTGTTAGGGATTAGGCTGGTGTCATAAATTAATGGTTGTAGATTCTCCTCCAATGATTACTAGCACTGAGTAGTTAGCTAGGTTTCCAGTACCAGGTATGTTTTCCCTCTTGTTGAGCAGATCTTAGGTCCAAATAGAATACTCATGCCACTGTTGTACCCCTAGGGTTTTCATGACATGGGGTTGTTGTTGAGGTTGTCATAGCTGTGTAGGACTGTGGAAGCTTGCATGGTAGATTCTGATGGTGTGATGTTCTCAAAGTCTCAATTCTATCTGTGTCTTACACAGTGAGTTGATTTTGGTGTCTGGTGTAAACGAGGGTCCAGTTTCATCCTTTGGTGTGTGGAATCCAGACTTCTAAAAATGGAAGCTGTTTTTTTTCTTAGTATGCCTATCTGGTGCTCTTGTCGGCAACTATCCTGAACTTTCCATTTTGTTCCAATTGTCTGGTTTTTCTTAGTTTCACACTTTTTTCCTTAAAGCACTTCCATTTGTGTTTGGATTTTTTTTTCTTTTTGTTTTTTCGAGACAGGGTTTCTCTGTGGCTTTGGAGCCTGTCCTGGAACTAGCTCTGTAGACGAGGCTGGTCTCGAACTCACAGAGATCTGCCTGCCTCTGCCTCCTGAGTGCTGGGATTAAAGGCGTGCGCCACCATCGCCCGGCTTCCATTTGTGTTTGGGTGTTTTGCCTTTATGTATATATCTGTGTACCATTCCTATGGGTAGTGTGGGCATTGTGATAAGATTTATTTGGATTCACAGTGTGTCCTTCCATTTTCTCTTTCTTTGACCAGTGATTTGTTTTCACTTTGGACTAGACAGTTCATTTTGGACTGGAACTTACTAAGTCCTGCCATCTCTGCCTCCTGAGTGCTGGGTATACCATTAAGTCTGGCTCAAAAATTTTGGACTTCTAATCAAAAAATTTTTGCTAAAGCATTAAGAATTTATGTTTAAAGAATAAGACACAGCCAAGTGGTGGTGCTTGTTTCTAGTTCCAGCACTCAGAAGGCACAGGCAGGCTGTTCTGAGTTCAAGGTCAGCCTTGTCTATAGAGGGAGTTCCAAGACAGCCAGGAACACATAAAGAAACCATGTCTCAATAAGAAAAAAAGAAACAAACAAACAAAAAAAAGAGTAAAAAAATAAGACATGTAAGAGTTTCAGAAAACAATACTAGATTTATTGAAAGACATGTAATTGAAGTGTAATTATGTACACTTAAATGGCACATGATTATGATTAAATTAAATTAATCTGAATTTTATATTTACATTTTCAGTCCAGAGCATTACATTCATGCAGTGGTAAGAAGCACTGATTTTTTTTTTATTTTTTTATCTTCGAATGTCCATCCTCTTGAGAAATGCAAGAGCACTCAGCTGAAGTTGTTACCTACTGTTTGAATATATGAAACCCTAAGAGTTTAAGAAAGCCAAAGCCTAGGAAATTTAAATGTTATTTGTGATATATAAAACATATACAAATATATATACTAACATGTATGTATTAGTATTATATAGTAGTTATATCTGGCTTTGCCTATCTGAAATTTTGAACATTCTGAGCTGTGGCAACTCTCTAGGAGTCTGCTGTGTCAAGGAGTTTCTTCTGCTCATCTGGGATGTCATTCATGGCTTCTTCAGATATCTGGTCTGCAGAGAGCGTGTCCTGTGATGAAACTGTGTCTTCCAAGTCTGGATATTGGCCTGCATCATCAGGAGGGCCCTGGTCGTGTGGGATGTCAATCATGACTTCACACAACTTGGATACAACAGCTGCATTCTGGGTAGTAATCGTGTGTCCAAAGCCCTGATACTGGCCCTGGGGTGAGGATGGCTTTGAACCTGGAGAACCTGCATCGCGTGGTGATGAGGAAAGCAGACTTGTGTGTTCAGTATGCTCTGGGTCTTCGGGAAAACATTTTTTTTGGGGATAACCTCGCATTGTTCTCCCTATAAGACAATATAAATTTAATAGCCAAAGGTTATTTTTACTGCTGTAAACGTAATTCTCTAACCACTCCCTTCCCCCCTTTGTCTTCCCCAAATCTGAAGAGCCTGTAATGGCACTGCTTTCCATATTTTCTCATTCCTTACATTACTAGAGTAAATGACCTTATCTTACGTATTTGGGTCAGGGTGCCACACAAGCATGAGGACCTGAGTTCAATTCTCAGCACGGGCACAAAGCTGGGCATGTTTGTAATCCCCGTGCTAGCAAGGCAGAGATAGGATCCCGGGGGCTCTCTGGTCAGCCATCCTAGCTCAATCTGTGAGCCCCAGGACAGCGAGAGACCCTGTTCCAAAACCCAAGCTGAACATCCCGAGGGACCACACTTGAGGTTCAACTCTGACCCCATGTTCACACACATAAACCTACCTTCCCAATATACACACTTACACTTAACAGAAGTTAAACAGCTGTTACCTACCGACACGTCTCACTTGCTCAGAAATATC